GGAGGAGGAGGAGGAGGGGGAGGCGCCGGTCTCGGGGAGGGGCCCAGGCCTCGCGGCGAATCCCGGCTCGGGCGCGCCCCCTCGCGCGCAAGCTCAGCCACTCGGCGTGCACCGCGGGGGAAACGCGACCGTGACAGCCAGGCTCCGGCGCTCCGGGCTCCTTCTCACGCGGGCGCCGCGGGTATTCTGGGAGCCCGATCCGTGCCAGGAGAAGTCAGCATCGCTGAACGCGACAGGCAGGGCTGGGAAGGGGGAGGGGGAAGGGGGTGCAGGCGGCAAGCTTCGGAAGCAAGCGCCAGCCGGAGTAAAACTCCCCGGGAGTAGCCGGGGTCCGCTTCTGCCCGCACCCCAGCCCAAGCTGGGGATGTCAGGTTTTCAGAGATCCACAAGGGCTGCACCCAGGGCCCCAGAACCAGGAAGGGATGGGACCAAGGTGTCAAACCTAGGCGGTCCGAACTTCGCCGGTAGGAGGCCCCGGTGCAGACAGCGCCTGGGCTAGGATAATAAACGGGCTGGGTGCCTGTACTGCATTCAAACCTCATAGAAGCCCGTGGAGGGGAAACACGTTAAGTTTTCTCTGTAGCCTGGGAAACTGAGGCTCAGCGAAGCGAAGAGCTTGGGCAAGTTCTCGCAACAAACAATGAATGGGCTTCCAGTCCAGGGCGAAAAGTCCCAGCCCCTACTTCACCGTTGCAGAGGAGGAAACTGAGGGTGGGAGGAGCACCTGGTGCTGCAGAAGGGTTTAGCAGGTGGCCTTCTACCCCGCCCCCTGTCCCCATGACAAAATGCCAACGGTAGGCAGGCTTGTGTGGCAGCTGTTAGGCCTTTTGGGCGCTCAGCCAAAGATTCACTGAATTTGTGCGAAGTCACAGATGCGGAAGAGATGCTCGAAGGCGGCCAGCTCCTACTGCCTGTGTTTCTCTCCGAGTCTGCCCCAGAGGTGCGTTGTGACCGCAGCCATGCCGCTTCCCCAGTCTGGCCCTCGGCTTTCTCATGGGCAAAACCCAAGAAGCTTGCGTTCCACAATCTACCTGGGCACCTTCCAACATCTACAAATAAGCAAGTGGCTCTCTGCAGCCACCTCCCCACCGCACCTCCCATGGGAAGCCATAAGACTGAGTGGGATTAAGTGACAGGAGACCACTGAGGACAACAGCTCCCACAACAGCTTATGGTTTCAAATCCTTCAAGGCAGCCTCCCCGCCCCCAATCAACTCCGGGGGGGTAGGGCGCACTGCCCATGCCCACTGCAGACCCTAACACACTGGAATGCCAGAAACTACCCTGAGGGATAGGGAGGATTTGAAAGTGACACTCTGGTGTGTCCCTGCAATCTCAGCACTCCAGAGGCTGAGGCAGGAAGATAGTTGCAAGTTGGGGCCAGCATAGTTCGAGGTTAGTGTAGACTACCTACTGTCTCAACCTCCCCTGCCCCACCAAAAAAAACCGCTGAAGCGAGACTGTGACACTCAGGTTCAGTCATTGGAAGTGTCTCTACATCCGCAGGCCAGAAAATTGTTACAGTGTCCAAAAGAGGTAAATGTAAATTGTCCAGTTTAAGTTTCACAAGTCCTCCCTCCCTTTGCAAATATTCATAGGCGTATAACAAATATACCTATCAACAGAAATACAGGATTTCATACAAATACAATTCAACAGCAGTGTCACTAACAACTAACACTGTATATTTATGATGTGTTACGTTCTGTCACATTGCATTATTTAATTTAAACCTCCGAACAATTTATGAGAAGCTGCTATTATTCCTGTTTCACAGATGTGGAAATTGAGGCTCAGACCAGATGTATCACTTGTAGGAAGCAATGGAGCTGGATGGGATTTGAACTCAGTTCTGCCATATGAGCATAGTTTACTATAAAGACTGTATATCGTGCCAGGCATGGTGGTGCACATCGGTAATCCCAACACTTAGGAGGCTGAGGCAGGTGGATCGCCGTGAGTTCAAGGCCAGTCTAGGCTACACATGAAGTTCAAGGCCAGCCCTGACTGCACAGTGAGACCCTGTCTCAAAAAAAAAGTATATTGCTTCTGTTAAATTCAAACCCTAATATACTAATACATTCATTCATTCAACAAACATTTATTGAATACCTACTCTGTTCCAGGCCTTGAGCTAAGGACACAGCAGTAAACATAAAGGCAGATGGAGCCCAGTGAGACCAGGGAGTCAGCAGGGCTTTGTAGACCATGGTGATAACTGTGGATTTAATCCTAGGAGTAACAGGGAGGCTGAGGGTACAGACAGTAGTGAGGATGACATGACAAAAATCTGTATTCCTGGGGAATCACAAAAGCTGTGAAGGGATGATGAACTAGAGATGGTAAAAATGGGAGAGAAAACAATTCAAAGGGAACTATTTGATAATGCCAGAAGAGATGAGAAAAAGTAGATAGACTGAGCCTTCTCAAACTAATACACTTTGGGTTATAAATATCTACATGAGTATAAAACTTCAGTTGCCTGGTGTCTAAAGTTTGTTAGCAGGACCCAGAGGGCCTCTCAAAATGAACTGCTTGATATACTGTAAATAATTTGGTATTTACAATTCTAAATATCCAGTTTAACTGTCTGCAAGAAAAATGGAGTGCCTGGTGTAGTGCTCCTGTAATCTCAGCATTCAGGAGACTGAGGCAGGAGAAGGGCCTCAAATTCAAGGCAAGGCCAGCCTGAACCACATAGCAAGATCCTGTCTCAAAAAAAAAAAAAAAAGAAACTATGACTATAGGTAACTATGAATCTGGGGGGTCAAGTGACAGTGAGACTCACTAGCCAGTAATTACAAAGGTGATTTGTAAGCCTACCACGATAGAAGGTGGAAAACTTTCACCTTCACCTTGGCTGAGCAAGGGAGGCAAGGACAAACAAGCCAAGAAGGCATGGCTACTCTGGACAGTGACTTTGGACTTCAGCTTCTAACTCTGAAAAGTGGGAATAACAATTTGTAAAAATTAACTGAGATAATAAATTGCCTGGCCCTCAATGGCAATTATTAATCGACCATATTTTACATATTTTGATGAGAGATGGTTAGTTTTTTCCCCTACAGATTAATTAAAGTTTTTTTTTAATGTACTACTTTTGAAACAAGTAGTTTAGATAGTTTTGCAATGATGGTAAAAATGAACCAGGGAATCACAGTTTTATTGAGACTTGTCAAATGATTAGGTAAATTAAATATACTTTTTGGATACATTTTTAAAAATATACTTTTAGAAGCTTAACACTTTCCTAAGGAAAAATATTAGTCTTAATTTTTCTCCATGAATTGGGTTATGAAGCTCTTTTAACCTGAATTCACTATGCCTCATTTCTTCACCAGAATTTGGGGAAGTCTTGTCTCCAAAGACCATATTGGGCTTCTGGGAGAACAAATGATGCAATTGGGTGTAGGGCCTGCAAACAAAAAGGCCCAACAAATATCTGTTGAATGCATCATGGTTTTATTCATTATTATTGCTATAGAGAGCTTACTGCATTAAGAGAAATTCCTGCTAGCACGTGATGCCCTGGCATTTCAAGCAAAATGTAATGCTCCAACTTATTTTTTAAAAATAGTAATGCTACCCAACTGTCACGCTGAAGTTTTTGGCCCTTTAGCGCAAAGGAGACAGAGCGGCTGGAAATGACCAAGCGGCTGGCCATCGCTCTGCCGCATAACGTGGGCTTCGTGGTTCTGACTGCAAACTATGCGAAGAAGGACTTCGGGAGCGGACATCTCCTGCCGCACGGTACACCGACCCACGCCATCGCCCGTGGGCTGAAGTCCTGACCCGATCGGGCGAAAGGGACCCCGGGAGGTGCCAGGGAACCCGTGTCACCCAAAATGGGCCAGTTGGGCCTGGCCTCGCCCCGCGGCGCAGAGCTGACTCAGGCCGTGGGGGAAGGAAGGTGCCACGGCGGCGCTCAGCTCGATGCGCTCCCCAAGATGTAGATTACTGATCTGCTCCCTGGCATCGCGGGCACCTCCAGAAGAGAGCACTAGGACGGGCCAAGCCCCGCTCCCGTCATTAACAACCTTTCCCTGGAAGTGCCCTGAGCTTTAGTTTGCAGTGAGCTCTGACATATGGATCCGCTACCTCTGGGATAGGAAACGGCAGCGGGCGCCCACACTTCGGAGAGGGGAAACCGAGGCTCGGCAGTGGGAAAGGCTTCTGGGTGCTTCGGAAGCGGGAGCTGGGGTACAGGGAAGGTTCCGAGGGCGCCTCTTCCCCCGCCCAGGGGTCCCCGCACTCCACCCGCAGAAGGGTGCCTCCCGCCGCCGCTCCCGGCTCGCTCCCGGCTCGCTCCAGCGCCAACTCCCACCCGGCCGCCCCAAGCGCTAGCCAGCTGGGCAGATACCTCTCGCCATGGCCTGGCTCTGTCACCGCCTGGGATCTCCCGGGAAACCGAGCTTTCGAAAAAAGTTGCAACAACTGTAACCAACTGCTCCGCGGAGATGCGGTTGCTCGCTCCGATTGGCGCCGCCGCCCGTCTCTCCGCAGGCTGCGGATCGTGATAGGTAAACTCGCAGACGTAGCCCGCCCTTTGCCCCGCCTCCCAGGCCTGGGCGGGGCCAGCGGCCGCACTTTCTACAAACGCCTTCGGGACAGGTCCCGACCGAGGAGGTGGGAGGGGGTTTAAATTTGACGGACTCCCGGCGTTGATTGGCTGAGATGAATAACACCCGCGCTACCATTGGGTGACCGCGAGCTCCTCCCCCTGCCCCGGTGTTGAAGCTCCACCTTTGGTGCTTGAATCCGGAGACTGGAGGCCGGGACTCGGTGAAGACCTGATATGGTACTTCCGGTATTTCTCAGGTTTGACCGGAACCTGACCTTTGACCCCGGGACTTCTCCTTATTACCCGGGGAACCTAGGTCTCCCAGCTGTCTGGCATCACTAACACGACGACCTCTCTCCCAGTTTAGTCCATTCATTCTAGGTTTGAAAGGTTTATTCAGTCTGTTCTTCCAGACTCAAATAGCCCTGCAAGTAGAACTTCTGCCAACTAACTGATCAGCGGGTAAGCCTCTTAGGAGGTCAAAGATCCTATCCCTCACACACCCACCCATTTTACAGATGGAGTGGCAGGACAGGTGATTTTCTTGCTGCCCAAGGTCACCTGGTGGCTTAACTGCGGGGCCAAATCAGTACCTTTCAGATAGTCTTCTGGATAGCGAGGTTGGGAACTCCACACTGTGCCCTATGCGGGCGAACCCCAATTAGCAGATGTCCAGAGAAGCACAAGTGTCGTGAGCATTCCTTTCTCTAGAATCAAGGCAGGCGTGCAGCTCTTGCTCTTCCCTGAGGGGCACTCCTGGAGCTATGGGAAGGGGTCACTCGTATTTCCTCTCTTTGGTCCCTAAGAACATTTTGGATACTGTGTCCCCACCACCGCTACTGTCAAGGACCCTCACATTGAACCCTCCCATTGCAAACTGGAGTGCTTACAAGGGCCGGGGGTGCAGCTCAGCGGTAGAGTGTGTGCCTGAGATGCAGGAGGCTCTGGGTTTCATCCCACAAACCACAAAGGAAAACAAAACCTGGGAATACACAGGGCAGCAGGGCATGGGGGTGTACGCCTGTGATCCCAGCACAGGAGGAGGCTGAGGCAGGAGGATCAACTCGAGTCTGAGGCCAGTCTGGGCTACAAAGAGAGACCTTGTCCCAAAAGAAACAAAACAAACAAATAAACAGAATACTACTGGGAAAAGCATAAAGTGACACTTTTGTCATGATTTTGCTGTGTGCCCTTTGGCATATAGCATTTTATTTCTCTGGCCTGCAAATGATAGAGTTTTGCTGTGTTGCCCAAGTTTCCTTCTACCTTCCATTAGTGTATGGAGGTTTTTGCTCTAAAACTCATTAATTAACATTTGTTGAGGAGGAGTAGTAAATATTAGTATTGTTTCAGTCTCCAAAGGATACAGTTCGTTGTTGTTCAAAAGGAAGAGATCTCTATGTGTGCTAGGCATGACTCCCAGCACTCAGGAGGCTCCGGCAGGAGGGCTGCCATGAGTTCGAGCACAACCTGGACTATATAGTGAGTTCAAGGTAAACCTAAACTACAAAACAAGACGCTGTCCCAGAAGACCTCCCGAAAAATAAATAAAATAGAGGAAGAAACCACATTATTACTATAATTATTTATTATTATACAGTACTGGAGATTGAATCCAGTGCCTTTCCACTAATTGACATCCCCCACCCCTTTCGAAAATTTTTGATATTTGTGTATATGTTTATTTTATGAGACAGGGACTGGTATAGTGTATAGTTCAGGCTGACCTTGAACTCACAGTGCATCTTCCTACCTCAGCCTCCTGAGTGCTGGAACTACACATAAGGGGCACCACGCCTGACTTATTTATTTTTGAGACAAGGTCTTGCTGAGTTGCCTGTGCTGGACTTAACTTGTGATCCTCCAGCTTTGCGGAGTGCTGGGATTACGGGCGAGAGCCCTTTATACAGGCCAAAGCATTACTTAGAAGATAATTTTAGACAGTGGCAAATGCTAGGAGGGAACAAAATGGGAAATTGTATGGAGCATGAGGTGGGACAGGGCTGCTTCTTGAGACTGGTGAAGTCAGAGCAATCATCTCCGAGCTGGCGGCTCAGTGAGGGAGATCCACCGGAGAGGTACTTCTAAGAGGAAACAGCTAGTATGATGCTTAGGCTGGGAAATAGAAAGAAAGCCAGGGTGACTGGGACCGAGTATATGACGGGTGGGTCAGAACTGAAAGGCTGGCAGCGGCTGGGGCACCACCTTGGGCCCCAGAGAGATAGCTGGGCTCTCAGCTCTCAAACTCCGCTTTATGCAATGCCATAGGACACCATCCTTTAATTAATTAATCAATTAGAGATAGGGTCTTGCTAGGTAGCTCAGGCTGGCCTTGAGCTCTCAGCCAGCTTCCTGCTGAGCACCAGAACAGCCCCCCTTTTGGAAGTCTCCCCGACCCTCAGGGCTGTAGGGGGCACTCAGCAGCCTGGCAGCGCCCCGGCCCTGCAGAGGCCGAAGAACGGCTTCCCAGGCTCTGCGCACCCCAACTGGCTGTCTGTGTGCTCCAGCCTTTGAGGTGGGGGCGGCTTCCTATATTTGTCACCTAGGTCATCTCAACATTCAGCGTTCCCTTTTGCCATTTTTAGTTCTCCACTACCCGTTTAATACATTTCCTATTTTAAATTCTGTTTTTGTTTGGGTTGGGTTTGGTTTTTTGAGACAGGGTCTCACTATGCAGCCCAGGCCGGCCTTGAACTCACTATGCAGCCAACTGGAATCAGACAAACTGTCTCTGGTACCCTCTGCTCAATGGCCCTTTTCTTTCTGTCTCTTTCCCCTCTCTCTGCTTCCTCTCTTTGTTGAGGTGAGCAGCTGGTTTTAAAATTTTTTTTTATTTTTTAGACAGAGTCTCTCTGTGTAGTTTAGGCTGACCTTGAACTCACTAGGTAGTCAGGCTGGCTTAGAAATCACCGTGATCCTCCTGCCTCAGCCTCCCAAGCTAGGATCCCAGGCTTGTGTCACCATGCCTGTTTTGACTGTTTTCATGGTCTGTAACAAACATGCCTGTCCCTGGTCAGTCTTGTGTTGCCTTTGCCTGAGTTCGTTTGGCCTTATTAACTTGCAGAGATAGCAGGGGTCACCACCGTGGCAGTTGTGGCAGTTGTGAGCCTGCTATTTAGGAGAGCCTGGCAACTCCCACTGTCATGTTCTGGGGACCCCTCCAGTAGGCAGGCTTGTGAAGAGCCAGAAGCTAGTAGCCCCAGTGGCCCAGAGGAGCCAGCCCAGCTTGTAAGGTCAGAAGGAACCTCGAGGTAACAGTCGTGACATCGTGGGGGTAGTCTGCTACAGGAGATTCGAGAAATGTTCCCCACCTCTAGAGCCAAACTCATGAGCTTTTGCTTTAGACCTGTTCCCCTTCTTGGGTACACAGTTTTGCTTAATGGCAGCATTATTGACCCAGGTGCCTAGGCCAGAAACTGAGGTGTCACCCTGGTCCCTCCCTCCTCAGTGCTTCTATCTGACCCACCACGTCTTGCTGTTGACCTCCTAAATATTTTTCTTTTTTCTTTTTTAGACAAGATCTCGCTATGCAGTTCTGGCTGGCCTTGAACTCACAGAGATTCTCCTGCCTCAGTATCCTGAATGCTGGGATTACAGGCGTGTGCTACCACCACCCCCAGCCCTCCAATATTTCTTGAGTTTTGCTCTCTTTCATTGCTCAACAGTTCTGCTCCAGCTCAAGTTCTTATCTTTTTTTTTTTTTTTTTTTGAGACAGGATCTTGTTTTGTAGTGCAAGCTGGCCCTGACCTCACTATGTAGACCAGGTTGGCCTTAAACTCACAGTGATCCTCCTGCCTCAGCCTCCCAAGCACTGGAGCACTGGATTACAGGCGTGCACCCCGCACTTGGGTCCCAGAGTGATCTTTCTAGAACACATATCCAACCATGGTGATCTTCTGTATCTAAAAAATTCCTTAGTTCCCTGTACCCTATAGAACAAAGTCCAAATTCAAAGTCCCTTTAAGAATTAGAGGCACAGGGGCCGGGGATTTAGCTCAGCGGCAAAAGTGCCTGCCTGGCAAGCGCAAGGTCGTGAGTTCGGTTCCCGGTACCGGAGAAAAGAATTAGAGGCACTCGGGCTGGGGATATAGTTCAGCAGCACAGTGTGTGCTTGGCAAGCGCAAGGTCCTGAGTTCCATCCCCCGTACAAAAAAAAAAAAAAGAATTAGAGGCACTCTAGCCAGGTGTGCTGTGAATTCCAGGCCAGTGTGGGCTGCAGTGAGTTAAAGGCAAGCCCGAACTACATAGCAAGACTCTGACTCAAAAATCAAAAACAAGAAAAGAATTAGAGGAACATGGACAATGACCTTTATCAACTTTTCTTTGGGAGGGGGAGTGGTTGCCAGGGATTGAACCCAGGGTCTTCGTGCTGCGTTACCTCCTCAGCCCCTTTTTTATTTCTTATTTTGATACAGGCTCACTCAGTCACCAAGTTGCTCAGGGTGGGCTTGAATTTATGATCCTCCGGCCTCAGCCTCCTGAGGGCTGGTCTTACAGGTGTGTGTCACCATGCCAGGTCCTGCTAACTCCTTACTTGCTGTATCTATCAAATTTCAGGTGGGATCTAGAAGCCACAACAGTTATTTGTTTATTTGTTTATTTATTTATTTATTTATTTAGGTACCAGGAATCAAACTCAGGACCTTGTGCTTGCCAATTGGCGCTTGTGCCGCTGAGCTAAATCCCCGGCCCCTCACACCAGTTATTTAGTGGAGATAATACAGAGCACTCCTTGTTAGGTATAAACTGGCTGAGCAGGTGCCTGGAAGGGTACAGAAAAGGCATTAGAGTTAGTGACTGTAGGAAGCGCTCCCATCAGTGATGCAGAGAGCTGTGTAATTTAAATTTAGCAACCTGGTCTCAGGGCACT